GAATCTGTCATAGCTGGCTGGCCTCGCCTATCCCCGCCTCATCCCGCCCCGCCTCGCCTGACTCGTAATCATTTCACATTTACTCAATTACGTTCATAAATGTCAGATTGGGGCCACGTTGGGCCGTTCTATGGGACGCCACACGACAACCGGTTAAGCCAATTTATTAAATAAAAAACCATTTGTCACATTTATTCAAGTTTTCAACGCCTTTTTGGCGTTGCGTGGCCCGTTGCTATCTTTATGACATTTTCGGCGCTCAATGGCGACTGAAAAGCCCCCCCCCAAAAAAAGCCATAAAGCCAGCGACGACCTGGCCAAAAGCGGTCACAAAAGGGCGCTGCGGCTCAAACCGGCTGGACAAAAGGTCATCCCGGCATTTCGCTTCATTAATTTCACCTGGTCGACTGATAAAAAAGAGAAAAAAAAAGAAACAGCCGTTGTTGATCATAATAAATATAATATGTAATAACCAGATAATAACAATGCCAGTGAGCCCATCCAACTTAGATGCCTTTTTGGCTTTTCTCTTTTAAATTAAATATATATTATATACATAGACATATATATATTTTATGTAGTCTTCGCCTCGTTGCCAGAACTTGAAAGCAGTCGAAAGACTCGCTGAGACAATGCCGCATGCCCACCGCAATTAGTTGATTGCCGAGCGGGCTCAACTCCATCAAAGATTGTAAGTGCTTTCAATTTCATAGCCAAGCCGACTCTGTCTCGCTCTCAGCGCACTTCCCTCTCCCTCTCTCGCTCGCACTCGCCCTCTCGATTTCATTTAGTTGGGGCGCTCTCAACGGAAATTAAACTTGTCCAAAAGTTTAAATGCCTTTCAGCCGCTTCCCGTTGTGTTTTGCTTGACTTTTGTTCTCAAGTTGCCATTGCCACGCCCCCGCTCCGACCGTCCCTCGGCTGGCCATGTCTCCCACATTTACGTACATTTATTGTATATGCCCACTCGACGAGTTTTCTAATTTGCGCGCGGCAAGCAATTAAAGGCTGCATCCGTTTGGATGCTGCAAGGCATCCTTTCTGCTCTCCTCTCTCTCTCTCTCACTCTCTCCTCACTCTGCCTTTCTCCCATTTACCCTTTATGTTATAAATCGCAGCATTCAGCCCAGTCTCGCTGCTTATGCAACAAATTAAGCATGTCAAGTTACTCATACGCCTCGTTATCACATCCAGCCGCCTCTCAAGCGCAGCTAATGAGCGCCGACTTGCAACCTTGACTGCGCTGCAAGCGCGCATTATGCGGATCTTTTGACTGTCAGTTGTATAACTGTAAGGGTTTAGTATTGCCCTTGCCCAGACAGACAGACCATAA